TATTTTATATATATATATATATATATATATATATATATATATATTACGATTTACGCGGCTAAACATGACGTTGACAGACTAAAAGCACTTAAAATCCTTCGATTTCGTAACGCCGCGGACGTGGCCGTTTCGTCATTTATTTCCCGTCATCGATTTCGCGTATCTGTACGAACAAGCTTGGAAAAATGTCATTCGATGCGATTTATTTTTATTCTTTTTTTTTCTATCTTTCTTATTCGGATGAGAGAAAGAGCACACCTCGCGTTACGCGCGGGTGTTGCGGGTGCTATCTAATTTCATCACGGGGACGCCAACGTGCGAGAGATTCCATTCCGATGACTTTTCGCTAGTCATTTAGTTTCACTGTCGATAGCGCGGGTTCATTTTTAGTTGTCCGTCGTTGCCGACGGACGCGTTCATATGACAGACTCGCCAGTGACAAGAAATAGAACGCACAAATGACGAAGTCGCGTCAATGCGCTGAGCGTAATGCCGCGCATATTCGGCTGTATATAAATACAATGTTAAAAAAAGATTTGAGTTAAAAAAGGATATGAGTAACTTCGGACCTCTGCGAGTAGCCTGTTGTCGAATCTAAGATTATTACGGAGGACTTTAATATAACGCGGACGCGAGACGGGACGATGAAACAATTCTTAATTTGCCGAATATCACACTTTATTATGATTATCGATCCCCGGATATCAATAAGTTAACTTTGATTGCGTCATGTATGTTAAATGTATATTTCGCTGTAGAAAATCTCGCTCGTTCGAAGCTCTGTTCGTCTTTCTGTTTAAATCTACTTTAGTCACCTTCGCTAGTTTTTCCGATCTCTCCGCACGAAAGCGAACGTTATTGTGTAACGGTGACGAGCCAGATATAAGAACTGGGGTGAATTTCAGTGAGGCACGCGCACGTCCGATTACGAAAGAAGTGTAGCGTGTAATAAATGCTTTTTCTCGTCCTCAGCATATGTCTGTCGGCGCTTACTTACGGACGCTCCGACCTTGGATAATTCGCCAATAATACTTTTTGCCGCATAATATTATTGCAACGAATTGCATTTTGCATGCACTGCGGAGACCGATGAATAAACGTTAAGTCATTTAACTGGCACAAAAGGAATTCTCCGTGTAATAGTTATTAAGACAATCATTTTCTAATAATATTATCCGGTACTTCTGAACATCTATCATATAAATTTATAAATTAAAATAGTTAAATACACAATTATTGAACATATATATATAAATTATTACAGTCATATACCAAATATAATTAAATATTCAAAATATTGCAAAAAGTATCGCTCGCTTAGTTTGTAAATATGTGTTCTATTTACAAAGCTCTTACATTAATACATTCGGACGCATTCGGATTTTCGTAATTTGACTTTAGCGCGAAATCGACATGTTTGCAAGGATGAAAATGTTGCAAAATGTAATATTTAATTGGCAATTGAGTTGATCATTGTTCAATCTTTTGAAATCCTAATTGAAAATGAGCCAGACGGTATGTCACGGTATATCACGAGGATTTTCAATGGAGTAGCTGTTATTTGTCGGCGAATGTCGCGCGGAGGACGCCTGTCTGACCTGATCGCGTCGTTATCACTTATCGAACGTGACTTCGTGCACTTGAATGTAACATGTCACATGTAACGTCGCGACGCTCGCGGGAAGCGTGGGCGCGCGCGTATGGCCCGACGGGGGATGTAAGGCAGAGAATTTCGAGTAAGACGACGGCAGTGGCCAGCGTGGTGGTGGTGGTGGTGGTGGTGGTGGTGGTGATGGTGGTGATGGGGGGCGAAACTCCAACCTCGAGATAGCCTCGCGACATCTCGCGCGTTTAGTTGGCGCGCGGGGCCCCGACGATTGGGACGGCTGACAGAGACACTCCGTGCAAGTAAAAAGAGAGCAGGATACGAGAGGCAGGGAGGGCGAGACGGTGACGAGCGACTACACGAAGACGACGACGACGACGACGACGACGACCCGACAAGACGAAGACGAAGACGATCGAAAAAAAAAAGGAGAGAGAGAGAGAG